CTGCCAAAATATATATATATATATATATATATATATATAAAATTAATAACTTTGATGTATAGGAGACAAGCAGCTTTTGACATTAAATTTTCAGGTAAAAAAGTGTGTCTTATACATAAAAAAAATACACTATATATAAGGTCAACACAATATATAATCATATATATATATATATATATATATATATATAATGCGAATATATAATCTACAAGCACTTCAATATTGACCACTCTTACCCCCATAACTATAGAAAATTTACAAAATTATACATGCACACACAAGTGGTGAAAAGTTTCCAGACTTATCAAGATGCCCTAACAAAAGAAATATCTAATTTTTGGTCAAATTTTAGGAAGTAGTTTAGACTGCTAAGAACCATCTAGAACTATTTTGTTGTATTATTTTATCACTTTGTGAATGAAAATTTGGTTGGGTCTTCCAAGTCTGTAGCATTTGAAATTCATTCTGGCTTGTGTAATGTTAGGTCTAAGAATCTTGTAAAAGTTTTCAGTTGATAGTTGTGAAATATCTGATATATCTTGATCAGCTGTCTTGTTTAGGGCATAAAAGGTAACGAGTTTGTTTTTTTTTTTTTTGGCCTCTTATATGAATCTTTTGGGAAAAAAAATCACAAGAAGCCATTTTTGAAGAATTACTGTGAAATTAAAGTTAATGATTCTTAAGCAAATCTGTAATTGAGATTAACTGTGGTATTTTTATAAAAGCAGTTCTTGTAATAACAAAAAAAAAAGTTTTGTTTCAGATTCTACAATAAGGTGATGATTTCTTTTGTAATTGTGAAAGAAATTCTTGAATCATTAAGCATAAGATATCAAAATCATTTGGAATGTCTCTTTTGCTGATAAACATGATTTCTATCTTCTTGCAATTGAAGTTTTGGTTCTTTCTTCTTGTTTTCCATCAGAACATACTGTAGAGATTCTTGTAGTTTCTTTCCTGTGTCTGCTATCAACATTGTCATCTGCATATCTTATATTATTAAGATTGTGGCCACCAGTAATAAATCCTGGTAGGACTTCTAATTCTCTCCAAATTGTCTCTGTATGGTATAAGTCTGGTAAGATTACACATCCTTGTCTTACACCCCTTTTTATTTTTGTGTATTTACTGAATTCATTTTTTTAGCCTAATGCAGACAGTTTTTGGCTAGTATAAGTTCTGGATTATTCTAATATCCTTCCCAAATATGCCATGGTTAAACAAGTACATAATTTAAATATCTGGGAAGTGTTTTAACAGAGGACGGAAAATGCAACACGGAAAACCAAAGGTGCATTGGGATAGCAAAAGATCCCTTATAAAAGTTAAGCAAAATATTAAGAAAGAGAAAAATTTTGTTACAAAGAAGAGTACTGAAATGTTATATAATATCAGTCCTGCTATATGGCAGTGAATGCTGTACAATCTCCTCACAGATGAAGAAGAGCATGAAGCAACAGAAATATGGTTCTACAGAAGGAAGTTGAGAATACCATAGACCAAATATGTGAGTAATAAAGTTTTAGAGAAAATGGAAACAAAAAGGATATTTATTCTTAACATCAAAAAGACATAGTTGAAATTTCTAAGGAACATTAGGAAGAAAGAGGGCTTATAAAATTTGACACTCACAGGACAACATGAAGGCAAGAGCAACAGAGGAAAGCAATGCATAACCCTCCTAGCGAGCCTGAGTAAATGGATGGCAGAGTTTAGGTTTAGGAGATAGAAAAAAAGACAACCTTTATCAAGAGCTACAAAGGACAAGAAATTGTGGAGAGCCATGATCTCCAGTGCCCTGAAGGGACAGAACACATAGAAGAATTTATTTGATTATCACCATTTGGGAAACATAAGTTATCAAAGCACTGCACTAATTATCCACTTGTTTCTTTTGCATGAGAATTTCATATAAATACTTTTACTTTTCATGGTTTAAAAGGGACTTGCTCCAACTCTGTGTACATTTGACATTTATTGATAACTGGTGTCATCTTCATAAAAGTGATCAGATTATTGACATAGATTGGTGCTTATGCCCCAAATGAAAGTGTTACTCCCTGACCCTCGGATCAGTGTTATAACTGTGTATTCTGCTTCCAATTAAAGTGTTGATCCGAGACAATTCTCTCTGATATTCGTACGCCCTACCTAGAATCAATGTCTTATTCCCTGATCCTCTGCTTTTGTGTTGGATCAGTATTGTATTTTGTTCATTCTGCCTGAAATAAAATTGTTGACCCTTAATATTTCTGCCTAGGATCAGTGCATTCAGCCTAGCATCAAGGTGTTACTCCCTGGACTCCACCTTAGATGAGTGTAGTATCTGTGTTCTCTATTATGGTTCAATGTCACTCACAAACACTTCTGCTTAGGATCTGTGTAATATTTGTACCATCTACCTCGGATAAATGAATTACTCCCTGGCTCTCTACATCAGATCATCAAATCTGTGCATGCTATCATGGATTAATGTCACTCACAAATACCCTCTTAAGATCAGTATAGTATCTGTGTCCTGTATGTTAATTGTTACATACACAAAAAATAATAATAATCAAATTTTTTTATATAGGCATATTCTTATAAGCCAGTGATCACTTTAATTTACTTAATTATTTTGTTGAGTGTGTCTTTATATAAAAAATATGAATGATTTTAACCTCACCTCATAAAACCATTTTGTTAAGCATGCTGCATTCCTGTGTTGTTTTCTTTTTAAACATCAAGTCCCAAGCATGTCTTCCACTTTGAAAAGAATTTTATGTTGTTTGATTTGAATTTAATCCAAAAACTTACAGCTTTTGCATACTTTACTTTTCACGATGGAATTGGGATGTTCAGGTGGTATAATGAATAGCAGCCTCAAATGAGAAATCTGATAGCCGAGTTAGAATTTCAGTTCAGCTTCTTACCTTCATTTACACGCAAATACCTTTTTGGAAAAGTATGAATCCGTCTCCCCCTCACCTATGGGTTAAATAGTAGGACCTGTTGTTCTTAAAAAATTGTTAATCCACTATTCACTCAAAAATTTTTTTAAAATTGTAATCAAAAAATATTTCAACTTTAAAAGGGTTGATGAATTTTTGAAAAAAAAATCTCTGATGAAAAACTCTGCTTTCAAAGACATAAATAACTAAACATGTTATAAAATATGTATTTTTTGTGTTAGATATGTTTATTTACTTTTTTTATCCTCCCAGATCTCTGTTTTATGTTTGTTTATATGGGCATGTAGTGAAGGGGTTAAAACATTCACTTTCCAACAATAAGACCCAGGTTCAAATCTCACCATGGTTGATTCATCAAAAATATGACTTCTTGATAATATTGGCCTGGGGAGGTGATCCCAGAGTTCAGCAATTTTGGAAAGTGCCTGAAAATTGAAACACTGGTTGTCCCAATCTTTGTGAGTGAAATTAGGTGAATAGAACAGTTCCACTAATAGTTGAGCTACCACAAAGTCACAAGTTATCGTGACCGAGTATTTGAGTATACTGGCCTCATTCAAGCTGCTGATCATGCCAGAACTTTTTCTCCCACAATCTGAACTAATGTCTGCTCAGCATAGTTGCAATATAAACCAATGGTGGGCTCTGTGAGTATTGAAGAAAAACAAATGTACCTCAGCAGGAATATGCACAAAAGGCACTATCTAGCCACCACCCCCTCCACCACCACCACCAAAAGCAGATAGGCATAATTGGGGGACAGATGGCCAGCCATTATTGTAAGATTGTGTGTATAGAATAAAGGAATGATTTAAGGTTAAGAATTTTAAAAAATTAAAATTAGAAACAGAAGTATGAATGTGGAGAGACAGAAGATGAAACACATATACATACACGCGGATGACTTCACCCCTTGAAGATGGCCTCAGGTGAGATTGAAAGTACTTGGGGAAAATAAAAACTATTTGATAGAAAATTTTGGTATTTTTCTAAGGCTATCAAGAAATTAATCCGTGAACTTGAAAGGATCACAACCAAAATAAATTGGTTGATATGTTTAAATTATTTAACCAAATGTGTTTGAATGAAAATATGCTGCCAAAATATACACACACACACACACACACACACACACACATATATATATATATATATATATATATATATATATATATATATATATATATATATATATATATAAAAGAAAGAACAGTAAGATATATAATCCGGTGTTCTTATAGATACTTTTATTTTTACAAAATAGTGCTCAATGTAACTTTACAGAGCATTAATATTATAAATTAATTGTTTTAAAATAAGTTTTTTTTTCGCTACACAGTTCCAACCATGTTTTAAAAATGGAAGCTAAAAGCTTCAAATTTAATTTTGTAATTAAATTAAAGACATTAGTTCCATTTCATCCTCAAGCAAATTATATAAAAAGAGGGAGAACATTAATGATCCTAATACTAGAACTTTTTAATTTTTTATTGTTGTTATTGCTATGCCTCTTGTTAAGACAAATATGTCTTATTCATCTCTGTCCCATAAAAGTTATTACATTTGTTTTGTATACACATTTACATTTAAACACTAGTGACTAAAGTAAATGTAACAACTCTTAGTCTTACAGGACAGAAGTAGTATTAAAAACAAGATAATTAATTATATTACACAAGCTAATTACAGAAAGTGCGTTCCCAGCCTCAGTGTCTGAAGTATTTAAAGCATCTGGACAAGATTATCTGCTAATTCTTGACCAGAATCGTCTTAATATAATGGCCGAAATGTTGCGCTTTTTTAGTTTTGTTTTTTTCGGTTTTTTTTATCTGTTTTTAAATAATTTATATTTCGCATATAACACTGGCATTTGGCTGTGAGTAGTAAATTCGTGTACACAGCAAAAGTCCGTGTTGAACTTGAAAACTATCAATAATAACCCGATTTCTATCGGGTTACAAGTATCCACCCGACTGCTAGCGATATAGTACAAGTCACGACATCAGTAGACATTTCTTTTTACTGGTGCGTTTTTTCTAATGTAAGGGAGATAAATCTTTGTTGTAATTGTACTCTTGTCTATTACTCAATTCACCATCATCATTTTATTCTTTTCCTTTTTTTCTTTCTGTCTTTGTTTCTTCATTTCTTTTCCTTTTTATCTTTTCTTTCCTCTTTCCTTTTTCCTTCTATCTCTTTTCCTTTTTCTTTTCTTTTCAATTCTTTCTTTTTATTTATTTCTTTCTCCCATTTTTTTCTTTTTCATTTTCTTCCATTTATGATTAATATTTTTGACTAGTAATTTCCTTTCATTCTTAAGTTTCAGTTGCTTCACTTTATGATATCAGGTAAAAAATGTTGATAGAATTATTATTATTATTATTAAAACTAATTTTTTTCCAGAGGGTTTTTTCTTTCTTGTACTACTCTCAATTTTTCATCTTCTGGCACGTGTGTATGTATATATATATATATATATATATATATATATATATAATCTCTCAGCAGAAATGTGGTGGCATATGTGCCGATGTTACATCCAAACTTAAGAAAATTCTTAGACATCTTTCATTTTCAATTGTCATTGATTTGATAATGTCTTTAAATGTTGAAGTGACATCAGTACAACATTCATTCCTATTTTTAGGAAATGTCTTCTTTATAAAAGTACTCACTTATATAATTATTCACTACCTGTATTTAGATTCATAAAATATATTGTCTGGATTTATTTTGCAATGGCAGGGGTCATATTTATTTATAAAGATATTTTTTGTTATTTATGAAAGAGAAGGAAAAATATAGTTTAGAGAGACTTTTGTTAAGCATCTCTTATTTTTATTTTAATAAGTAATAGGTACCTCCACGAAATAACTAAAATAGTCAGCATACCGTGATGAAAACATGCTCCAAAAATGTAATGAAAATATAGTTTTATCAAAATCTTTGTTATTATTAAAAGAAAAAAAATCAAAGTATTTTTAAATATTAAATCTTTTACTTCTTTTTAGAATGTTCAAAATTTTGATTAAAAAAAAAAATTGTTTTTTCTTGTATTAGGGGTTGTACTAATTTTTTTTTAGCATAGCCAATTTTGCCTCATTTTGTGGTGACAGATACATTAATTTGGAAATTCTTACAAAAATTAAATAATTTTAGGATTTTAATTAAATTTTCAGGACTTATTCACAAATAAATGAAATTATTTTTTAAATTTTTTTTATTAGAAAATTATGATAAAAATATTTGGTTTTTTACATGTTTCATCCCTTTGCTTCTAAATTTTATGAAAACTTGAGACATTTGTGGTCATTTTTAGTGGCTATATTAGTTAAAGACAGAATTTTTTTGAAGAATTTAAATCACCATAGCAGGTGATCTACCTTTATGATTTTTTTTTTTCTAAGGGACAGAGTTTAGAAATTTTCTTTGAATTAAATATTTCTAACAGGTTTGTTTTTTTTTTATTTTAAAAAGCTGTTTAAGCTTGTTTCTATTATTATATGCACACTGCATAATGAAAAATTCTTAAAAGAATTTATGAAAGAATGATAGATTTTTATTTAAACTAACTAGGTCATCCTTTGGAATGTCTCCATGTGTCGTTATAGGGGTTTCGATTGCGCATCTAAAAATGTCATCTAATTAGGAGACACTAGTCACTATAGCTACTCTGTCTTTCTGCAGTTTCCATCAGATTTGAATTAACAGGATCTCATCCATTGTCAAGTATTTTGCATGACACCATTGCAGTTAAATATGCTAAGAATCTGGTCTGTTAGAATTTGTCATTGACCACATCCAACATCCTATTGTGGCATTGCCGATGTCTTCAATGTAAAACTCTGGTAGGTGTGACTGCAGGATACTATGCCTTGTCAAAGGGCAACCTTTGATTTGGTCCCCCAGAGCTACATGCGGTTTTGAATACTTTGGTACATTATAATTTTTTTGTAATCAATTTCAAGTACTGAAGAAAAAAATATTGGGAAAAATGTTATTAAAGGGACGTAACTCCTAATCGATATTTTTTTTTTTTAACGAAATCTAAAATATTTGCGGTGACATTCATAAGTTAAAAATCTTTTTTTATTAACTTAAATAAATAGCCTCTGTGATATGCACATTCCAAAATTTTTACCCTTTCAAACATTAATAGTTTAGAAATATACAATCAAAGATTATTTTTCTAGATTTGAGTAGTTTTTTTAAACAAACAGCTATGGTATAACAACACAAAAAAACTTGTCCATCTACTGCATTATTCATAATGCAATAATTCTTTTTCTTTTGAATCCTTAACACTGTTTACGGTTTTTTAAAATAAGGTATCATTCTTTGTATGTTATCATTATCCTGACAATTTAATATCATACAGGACTGCATAACTGTATGTATCCCATAATCCATTGTAGGATGTTTGAGGCACCTACACAGTGGAGCAGCAATGGGTTTGTCTGGAGCAAGATGACCAGATACGGCCCATCTTCTTTTAGGTTGATTTTGAATTCAAAATTTTCCTTTTAAACTGATTATTCTCCCTACTAAGGCATAAAAATTTAGTCTTCTCTACTATTTCATCCATAGATAGGAAGAAGAAATGGATTAATTTCTGTTGTATCCTTAAAGAAGGTTACAAACAGACAAAGGTGGTACTCAAGTGAAAGGAACAGCAACATGGCATAGATGAAAGAAAGAGAGGTTTATTGTAAAAGAGAATACACTAGTGAAAGACAAGGAATTGGTTAGCAGGCTAGTAATTCCCAAAGCAATGTTATTTACCTTACCTCCATGCAAGACAGGATGTGGCACAGGGCTGTTTTTTAATGTGGGGCAAAACTGAGCTTGTAGGGTCAGGCAAAAACTCCCCGTAGACCCCATATACACAGGATTGGGTAGCTGTCTACTACCCCAGACAAGACTCTGCCCTTCAGCATAGCCTTGTCTGGGTTCCTCTCCAGCCCGAAGGCAGAGAGAGTTTGACCAGCACAGCTGGAGATGAATCTCCAATTCCCAAAGCAAGTCTGCCAGGTATACCCTGTGCTTACCACACACACACACACACACACACACACATATATATATATATATATATATATATAATGTGTGTGTAATCTACTGATATAGCCAGTCCACATAGGCGATAGGGAGTGTGGGACATTCCATTACAACAATTCCTTTTACAAGGGTAGTATAAATTGGAACCACAGAACCTTGGCCAAAATCTGGACTTTCCTCACTGGTTACTTTTTCTATATGAATAAGCATGACACTAATTGAACCTCCATACTGAACTGATTCCTTCATAAATTAGATTGTGGTTCATTAGTGATATTCTTTATTCATTGTGGTGCCCAAAATTCTATGACACTATTTTCTTTGAACCAAACTCTGATAACATTGATGGGGGCTTTTTTTTTTTTCTTTGAAACAATTCAATTTATTTTTATTTGTTTACTTATAAGAGTGAAAAAAAAGTCCATGTCTCTCAGTAACTTGAATCAAAATTTGTAGCTGACAGGGAAGCAAGAAATCAGAAAGGAGTTCCACAGGTGAAAAGTGTGAGAAAAGAAAATATTCAAATAGAACATACAATTAGTTCAACAGTATAATGGTGAGACCTAATTGCCAATATAGTAGCACTCATAAATTCATGCAGTTGAGGCACTAAGGAGAAAAGCTGATCAGAAAATACTTGTAGAAAAGACAGAGGGAAGCCACGTCACATTGGTGGAAAAGTGACTGAAGTCGAATGCCAAGTTAGCATCGATTAAATTACAGACCCTTCTTTAAATTTTGTCAAGAATCTCAAGATATATAGTAGGAACACAAGAATTGTCAGGCATGACACAGTGAACCAACTTTTCTAGCAGTAGATTTAATAATTGATTCAATATAATCACTCCATGCATCAAAGAGAAATTGTAATGCAGTAATGATGGTACTTCGATGATAGGGCTTTGAAGTGTTAGTGCAGTAACGATGGTACTTCGATGATAGGGCTTTGAAGTGTTAGTGCGTAAACGATGGTACTTTGAAGGGCTTTAGTTGCAGTAATGATGGTACTTCGATGATAGGGCTTTGAAGTGTTAGTGCAGTAACGATGGTACTTCGATGATAGGGCTTTGAAGTGTTAGTGCAGTAACGATGGTACTTCGATGATAGGGCTTTGAAGTGTTAGTGCAGTAACGATAGTAGTTCAATGTGTTCATGCAGTAATGATAGTGCAATAATAATTATGCAATAGTGCCTGTTAGTACAATAAGCTTAATGTTCTAATGCCATTGAATCATATATCCATAGCAGTAAGTTTTCTATGTTATCAAAACAATTTTCATTCACTTTTTCATTTTATTCTTCACAGCCATTTTTTTTTTTTTTTTTGTCTTATCAAGTTGGGTGGACAGTTTTTACTTTTAAAATATTCAGCAAAATCTCACAAAATGTTCAAAGTTTTTAACAAAATTCTGAAAATGTATTCTAATTCCTTTTCTCCTACTTGGATACTTTGATCATCAATCATAAAAGGATTATGTACAAGTGTTATTCCTTTCCATCTGTGATTAAAATAGCCTGGGTTAATGAGCTACCTCACTACACATACATTTAACAAGCTGAATCCCTTCAAAGGATTTGAAATTCTCCTCATCATAAAACTTTCAAATTCTGTTTATAGTCTTTTAAAATGTCACTTGGTCTCATTCACTTACAATTAAGCATAATTCTGTCAAAAAAAATATGTTCTTGAAAATGATTAATTTTCCTTTTCTTTTTTCTAATTATATCCATCATTTTCTTTATTCCTCACTCAGTTAATCTGAAACTGTGCCCACAAGATTAGCTTGTTGACCCCTGAGTTTTGCTAGAATGTCAGTTACTGTAAATTTACCTATAAATAGCAAATTATTAATTGTCAGAAAGAAATCATGTTTTCTATTTGTCTTTTCATAACAACATCAACAAAAAAAGGAAAAAGCTGTAGTTTGGTTGATTCTGACAAATTTCCTTGTTTCTGTCACCTTTTTGGGATTTTTTTGTTGCATTTT